ACTTTGGGTTATTGGGCTAGAGAGACAATATGCAGAGGAATGACTTTGGTTAGTGCACCTTGGAGATGAGTCATCCAACCTCCAGACTCCCTGCTCCAATTACTCTTTTACCACTACCTACTCTTTCTCTGGACAGATTTTGAATGGGAGTTCTAGGGTAGGTGGCCACTGAACGCACACATAGGATTGAGGCCTCACACTCAAGTTCTGTGGACAAATATTTATCTTCTATGGTTTGTGGATTGCGCTGAGGCTTAGACAGGAGAGAGGTGTCCAGAGTAGAGCAGCATTGTGCATATCCAGTAGCTAAAAGTTGAACACCTAAAGAATTTTTACAGCAAAAATGTAGGTGCCTACAGGCTTAGGCAGCACTTGAGTGGGAGTTTTATGGGTTTCCATGAAGCCTAAAACTGGGTCTTAGGAGCCTAAGTACCTTTGTGCTCAAGGCCTTTGTGCCAGTTCTAATAAAGATTTCTTTTTTACCTTAGCTGTGAGTGTTAATGGAAGCCTAGCAAAGGAAGCACCTATATTGTTTGCTTTTGAGTTGGATGTTCACTGACTCTGTGGGGTAGCCAAAAGGAATTTAGATTACCACTCCTACATACATGCACCAAAAAAGGAGTAGTTATCAAAATTCAGCCTCAGAGTTATTACCCTCTATTTTCTGAATCAACTGAAGAATTGGACCCAGCTTATATTGGCTGTTTTTCAAATAAACCTTACATTTTTTCCAGAAATAGAACTCCAGTTACTGCCTTGGATCCATCGACAGAGACACCAGACTGTCAAACACTAAATCAGAGAGTATATTTCCTGCTGCTTCCATCACATCAAAAAGACACAGAGAGCCAGAGAGACTCCCCATGGTGACTTTCAGACATGACATTTCCGCATCATTTCTGTCTCAGTTGAGGCAACTATTTGTGGCATTTAAATACTGTGCTATACAATCGTATTCTTATTGTCTTAACCCCACACTTTTTTAAAGCTCACTCTGGCACATTCAGCACAAAAAGCCAAAATCAATGGTTCTGCTTTCAATAAGCTCTCTGGGAAATGGAACACAAGAAATCATTGGGTAGCTAACTGCCAGTCTGCATATGTCACTTTCTGACTGTTGCCAGTCAGAAAACATTTTATCTCATTAGATTCTGTAACATTTAGGATTTGAGTGTTCTAGATAGAGCACTGGTCACCTTTCCCCCTTTTAGTCACCCGTTTAAATTAAGGTCGACGGAGCCATGTAGATGAGGTTTCATTCCCACTGTGACCGCCCCGTTATGCCTCGTGGAATGAGGTTTATCGGGGCTTCCCTTGTTGACCGCAGAGCGTCCAGACTACCGCGCTGTGCCACCAAACAGCTGATCGGCACAGTGCAGCAGCCATTTTGATGTAAATGAAGGGGCGATTATTTAAATCGCTGCTTCATTTCCCTTTTTTGAGTTCACTAATCTACATGGCTCACCGACGGAGCCATGTAGCTTAGACATACCCGGAGATTGTTCTCTCAAGTTTTCCAGCTTATTTGTGCAAACCCAGGAGGTTCACACAGTTGGGATGGAAACTTAACAAACCTCCAACCATGGTGGCAGCCCATCACTAGACTGAACTATTGGTTCCAAGTTGAAAACAGCCTGGTGATAGTCCTCTTCACAATACGTCAGTCCTGGTTCTGGCTGAAAAGTAGTGATGTAAACACAAATGAAGAAAAAGGGCCAATGAAACATTCTGCATTTCAAAAAAGTTTATCTTGGCTTCAATGTCTGGAAACTTTGGGAGAAAAATTCTAGTTGTTTCATATTTTAACAAATATTGGTAAATCATTGTTTGAAATGAAGACTGGACATCTTTTTTTCTAGAAGTCATGTTGTTGTTCAGCCATAAGTTATTGGGTTTGATGGAGGAATTACTGGGTGAAGTTTTGTGGTTTCTAGACTAGATCATAGTGATCCCTTTATTTATAGTCTCTTGAGCTTCTAGCTGAGTTGTATTTAATTGATCAATTCCTGGACAGTTCTTTGAAGCATATGAGATGTGGTTTGGACACATTTTTCCACCAAATGTTAGTTTTGTTATTTGATTTGTTCTTTATGAGCCATTTCTTCTGGTTCACTGTGGATGCTTTGTAATGTCCTGCTACACCCCACCATTAACCTCAGTCTGGACCATTCTACACAAGAGATACATTTCCTGGACACCACAGTACAAATCAACAATGGAAAATTAGACACCACCCTCTACAGAAAACCCACTGACTCATACAGTTACCTACATGCTTCCAGCTCCCATCCAGCACACACCATACGATCCATCATCTATAGCCAAGCCCTTCGATACAACTGCATCTGCTCTAATCCCACTGACAGAGACCAGAAACTTCAGGATCTCTACCAAGCATTTATAAATCTCAACCTACCCACCTGGAGAAATAAAAAAGCAAATAGAAAGAGCCAGACGAATACCTAGAAACCATCTACTACAAGACAGACCCAAGAAAACCAACAATAGAACACCACTTGTCATCACCTACAGCCCCCAACTTAAACCTGTCCAACACATTATCAATA